TCCACCTTTATTCAGTCAGCAGAGTGTTGGTGGTTTTTATACACTATGTTCCTCAGCACTCGGAGACCCACTCTGTAAATTTACGAGTTGCTGTGGTTCCTAAACGCTTCCACTTTCCAATAATACGACTCACAGTTGATCATAGAATATCTAGGAGGGAAGAAATTTCACAACCTTACTTGATGCATTGGTGGCATCCTATTACAGCACCACACTTGAATGCAGGGAGCTCTTTAGAATGACCCATTCTTTCACAAATGTTTGTAAAGGCAGACAGCAAGGCTAGCTGCTTGATTTTATATACCTGTGGCAATGAGACTAAATGAAACACCTTCAGTGATTAAGAGGTGTGTCTCAATACTTTTGTCCATATAGTGTATATCTTTATGTATTAATGGCACATACAAAGACTAAAAAAGAGGGTCTGGCTCGATGCTTAGGTTTCTAATTCAAACTTTACACTATACTGATGAAGATATGATGACAATCGTAGATCTTGGACCAATGTGTTGACCGAGTTCTCTTTAAACACTCTTTCATCAGATTCATCAGATTCATCTGCTTAGTGAAGGAATCTAAAGCACAACCCATGTTACAAGTGCATGTGCAATTGCACATTTCCACCAGAGAGGTCTCCAAATCCCCCAAACCTACGTAGTGTAGATTTATTATAAAATACACAAATTGAGGTAGACTCACATAATCAAATGGCCTAAAGCTTAAGGGTGAGAACAACTTGACAGCAGCTCCACTCACTCCTATTACTCATCATTGTAATTGTTTCCTTTGTAGCTACTGAAGAAGATGCTTTAGGATATGGACTGACAAGGGACAACAGAGAATAAGGATGTTGTGGTCAGAAGTGGGCAGGACTCATCAGAGTAACAAACCTTTATGTACAAAAGGTAGATGACAGATAAAGACAAACGTGTGAATTTGAGTGTGTGTGTGTGTGTGTGCACATCCGTGTTTGTATAAAGCTAGTGTCAGTGTGTGTGTGGTCTCTGTGTGTGTGTGTCATCTCATGCCCACAGGCCGAAGTGTAAACTGTGCAGTTCCTCTGAACAATCGTTCTTTACCTTCTGCACATAAACACCTGTGTGCTCTACTGACAATGAAGCAGCAGCAGCTTTGAGATGAAGGAGGTGCTGCTGGTAGGAGTCGTTTGCGTGTTGAAGATGAAATGTGACTGTTTCTTCATGATGAACTCTCTGCACTTATCAGAGTGTGTTTAAATGCACTTAATAATCCCATAACTGCAGAAAATCAGATTTTGTCAGTAATCCGATCAATGCATTTACATGCACTTGAGTAATCAGATAATGTGAAACTCCAGGTCTACATGAGTCAGGCAGTTATTACATTTCTGCTTTGCTACCAGCCAATAAATTCATAGAAGAAGACGTGATGTAAACATAACGTAAACTCAAACTCAATGCCGCAGGTTTAATATAAACACATCGCGCCACTTTACCTGAAAATATGAACATACATCATCTAGAAAATAAAGAATTTTTAAATCCTTCATTTCGTCAAGCATGTATCAATACATGCGACAAGGCGTTTCAATGTTGCTACAAAAGTGTTTTGCTGGCATCTTGCAGGAACGCTGCTTGCTCTTTTCGGGTACTACCGACTGTTCTCACGCATTCACAGACTGAGAAATCCAAAAGAAATCAGAGTAAGAGCATACATGCACTGAGGAATCTGATTACTGAGCTAAAATCCAGCTCTCTTTATCGGATTTCTAGATCAGATCTCTAGATCAGAGTGTGCTGTTTACATTTCCATTTGATTAATCAGATAAATGAACGGATTATTGAGTGCATGTAAACGAAGTAACGTTAGTAACGTTACAGTAATGTGAACACATTTTCAGAGTTTCCAAAATAGATTTGAAAAATTTAAAGTCTCTAAAAAATTTTAAGTCTCTAAAAATTTTAAGTCTCTAAAAATTTCTAAAAATGTTTTACTATTTAAGGTATTAAATTTAAGAATATCCAGGCATACAGTGTTATGCAAAAGTCTGAAGCCCTCTGGTCAAATAACCTGCACATTTTAGTGCACAATTGCTTATTTGCTGAATTTAACTTAGCATAAAATGCGTCCTGTGCAAAAGTTATGGCACACTGTATAATTTTCTTTTATTATTTTTTCCAAATATGTTAAACCAATCAAATAAATAGAAACTGTGCACAAAAATTTGGAGATTTCTTTTTAAATATTTTTTAAATATTTAAGTTTATTTCCTAATTTCATAACTAGGGGTGCCAACACTTTTGCACCCGACTCTATATTACATAGATTGGCTAATTTTCACTCGTCAACATATCGTTGTTTGCAGTGTGGCCTCAAAACCTTGTTGAATAACTTGCTGAATACTGATATGGAATATGAAACAGGGCTTATTCTGAGCTTATGGATACTAAAATACTATAAGGTCATTTATGAGCAATAAACAAATAAATAAATAATATCAATAACTGTAAACAAATAAAATATAACATATATATCATTTAACTAAATAAATAAATATTACAAACAATGAAAAAAAATTAAACGCTGATAACGCTGACACTGAATGCAGGGGATCACAATTAGCCCTAAAACATCCAGAGACCGTTCGGAGACCGTTTGGAGACCGTTCTGCTTAAACGGCTTTCTTTTAAGCCTTGTGTTTCTTTCTGCTGAACACTCTCCCCGGCCTTCACGCTCAGTTCCCCCTAAAGCCATGGGCAAGTAAGTGCCCACCTCTGAAAGATCAAAGCAAGACAAGCAGAAGAAGTGAAAAGAAAGGAAGGGATGAAGGACAAAGACAGATGACCATTCTGATGCCCCTCGGGAGAGGATGTCCGGTCTGCTTTGGTAATTTGAAGGAGTACAAAAAACACACTTAAAGCACAAAACATGCCTGTGTAAACACACATACTGTCTCTCTCTCTATTGTCTTCACTGTGTCTCTCTCTCACTCTGCTGACAGCTCGCTTTCACGGCAGGACGGGGGTTAAAAGATGAACCGTGAGAATTCTCCAGGAATGTCCTCCTTCGTTTCACTGGCAACTAAAACTGCAGCCACCAAAAATGATCACCAACATGTTGCATCATCATGGTCCTTAAAACAGGGCCAGATGTGCATACGAGGGGAGCAGCGAAAGGGGTGGCCAAGGGTGGCCAGTGGCAACCTAGTGTGACATATACCCCAGTGAGACAGCTATCATCAATAAAGCAGTCATCAGAGAGATTTTCAGCTGACACAGTATTCAGTAGTAAAAATGATAAAAGATGAATGAAAAAAATTATATTTTTTACTGATTTACTTATTAAAAACAGGAATAAAATCAGTTTCAGCTGTTTTTAAAAATGTAATTAAACAGTTACTTTAAAAAATATGGTTCTTCAAGGGTTCTTTAGTAAAAACAATGGTTCTATGTATAACCATGAACACTCAAAGAACCCTTTGCATGATTAAAGGGTCCTTTGCATCATGAAATGGTTCTTCCTATTGATGGGGAATGTGCTGTAGATGGTTCTATATAAGTCCTTTTTGAAAATGGTTCTATATAGCACCCAAACAGGTTCTTCTATTGCTACAGTGACAAGCTTGTAACAAAAGAAGAACCCATTTGGGTGCTATATTGAACCCTTTTCAAAAAGGTTCTATATAGAATGTATATACAATATATATATATATATATATATATATATATATATATATATATATATATATATAACCAGTTGTTTATTTGTGCAAGTTCTAAACACAAAGTTCTCCATTAAATTAGGCTATCTGGAACAAGTATACCATCACTGGCAGAACAAAAACGAGTATCTCAATTTTTCTGTTTTTTGATTATTATTTTTTTTTTTTCCTTGACTTGGAAGAAAACCTAATTACATTCATTTACATTAAAAGTTAAGAATTTTTTCCCTTCTCTTTCAAATGTATGATATGGAGATATGAGGTTTTGTTCCAAAAGTAGTGATATGAGATTAGGGTTAGAACTTTAGCAGAATGGCTTGGCACCCCTGTTGTAAGACAGCAGGTATGTATGCTGTGAATGAGCACATCCTGAAGTAAACAAAAAAGGCACCCCCTTATATCAAGTGTGCTCTGTTTTCATTGTACCCAGGCATGTGTAATAGACAGAAATGGATTTATTTCCATTTTTGGAGGGGCATAGCATTGCACACTGTGAGTTATGTTAGAGCAGAGTAAACACAGGACTTCAGTGCTGTAGTCCTCCAGACTGGAATTTGTGCAACCTTTACCTTGCTTTGAGGCTTCCATCTACGATTCATCATTCCAGAAAACACTGCTCATGAGTCCGATGGCAGTGTGCTTTACACTCGTCTAGCGCTGACATTACTTTTTAGCAGTTTGCAACTTGATAGTGAGTGCTGCAACTTGTAAGCATGAACTTTATGTCCCACTGCTTCACTGTTCCTGCTCCTTGACTTTTCCCACCTCACAATAACAGCACTTACAGGTGACTAGGGCAGCTCTAGCAGGGCGGAAATTTAATTAACTCACTTCTTGGAAAAGCGAATCCTCTGATTGTGCTAAGTCACTGAACTCTTCAGCACAGCCCATATATACAGTCGTACGAAACTGTTTAAACACCTAGTCAGTTTACCAGTTTTGGTTGTTTTCTAAGTGAAAATAACGTTAACACGTCCTCTACAGGAAATAAACATAAATATGGCATTTTTCTGCAAATTTGTGCATAATTTATATTTATTTAAAATATTGGTAAAAAAAAAAAACCTAAAATATAATGTGTTATAACTTTTGCACAGGCCACACTTTTTTTTATTTCTATCCTCAATATGTTAAATTCATTCAATAAACAGTAATTGTGCATTCTAATTTGCAGAAGTATGTTTATTTTCACTTACAACAACAAAACATGCAGTTTGACCAGGGGCGCCCAAACTTTTGCACACGACTGTACGTGTACATACTGTCAACTGTATGAAGAAGAACGCCACCATCTTGTGTATTCTTTTGTATAAAGTTTAATGAGCAGAAACGTATTTTATTACTGAAACCATAAATATATAAATTATAGTCATTGTTATTTTATCCAATCAAGGGCATAACAATTACAAAATAAAAGCTCAATGATAATGTCTGTTGTTTTCTTTTTGAACAATGGTCCCTGTTCTATATATAAAGCTACTTAAAAAAAAAAAATAAAAGTTTATATGAATGGTTAGGGTGAAGGTCGGCTATGATACATTTCTAGCTTGCATTATAAATATAGCACCAATTACATCATCATCATAGACCTCTAATATTCAGTGAAATGTCGGCGCCCTTAATACAAAAACAGCAGCAGTATTCCCTTAGAACACCCGGTACCCTCTGTACAAACGACACGCTTTCAGTTCAGTCTAATTACAGTCCCTTGCTTTTCTTTAACTTCTTCAGTTTCTCTGAAGGGGTGGGGAGTAAATTATGGCCGTTCCATCTAAGCAGCTGATCGATATTCACATAAGCCTGGAGGGAGGGGAGGGGCTAAGGAAAGAGAGGTTGGTGGGTTGGCTCACAAAGTTGGGTGATTAGCTTCAACATACTGTTTTTAACACACCCTCAACATCACTGTACTGCTGAGAATTGCGTAGCCATTGGCTAAGTTAGCAACAGCGAGCTAATCAGCCAGCCATGCATAAATTGAGATTTTTTTAAATGAACATACAAACGTGAATGACAATGTTTTGTCTGGCTGTACACTTTGGTTTAGGAACTTGCATGTTGTGTATTGCCTTCATTTCTGTTGAGAATGAGGAGAATACATAACTGGGGACCACTTGTTAAACTTTTGGGGGCACTGCTAGGCCTAAAACCTGCCCCCAGATACTCCTAGTCCGTTAATGTCTGTAGTACAAACCCTAACAATAGCTAGCTAGCAAAATGCTATCATAAGCTAACATTCTTTTTTCCTTTGCAAGAGGTAATGTCCATTTTTAATCGCGAGTTCTGGCCCATCTTTCTGCTTAATTTAAGGTTTTTGTGGGGGCTTTTCAGCCATGCTAACTTCTGTTACATCCATGGGCTGAAGACTGGCCTGTTGTCAATCAGACATTTTTGACTAGCGCACCATCTCCCTGTTTTGAGTTCCTCCTTCACGAGGCATTGTATCGGTTCAGAAATTTCACACTCAATTTTTTCCCACCCTGGTAGGTCTACGTTCTCACCCACGTGTCCCCCGACGTTTTCATTATGAGATCACATCTGGCCCTGCAAGGCTATTTTTGTTGTTGTTAGCTGTAGAGTCCTTAGCTGGCTAACTAGCAAGCTAGCAGAGTAACATAATGACAGTGTAGGCAGTCGTGTATAACAGATGGAGCAGTTTCCTACATAAATCCTAGCTTGAACATTCAAATGAATGTTATATTTTTTAAATAATTGGAACAATTTTTTATTGCTATGGCTTATAAACACCTTCATCCACCACTGACGTGATCTTGTGTACTTTCAGTAATTGAACAGCCCGTAAGATGGTGTCATTGATTCCCCAGGGGAAAATGATGAGGCATGGTCGATGAGGAGGTGTTAAAAACAGTACTGATATGGCCAGAAAAAACATTCTGAATAGATTTCAGTTCTTTTTTAGAAGCTGCATCAGTTTTTTTAATGTATTAGAAGCTCAAACTAATCTGAGCGTGTGCTGAGTCATCTCAGTCATTTCAACCATTGAGTCCTCACCGGTCACTCTGTGGAAATATCTCAATCTCCAACAATCAGGGCCTAGTTTCCCAAAAGCATCTTAAAGTCCCAAGGAACAAAGTTTGAAATATTTTTGTGTTATGTTTAAATTACACTAAAATTTGGGGTTATATTAAACCTTCTGCAAATTTTGAACGAAATATAATAAAACATGGCTTAAAACTTGTTGATCTATCTGAGATCTGTCTGGATGGGTCCTAATATTCTGATGCGCATGTGTTATTGACATCCCTTAGTCCAATACTCCCAGCTTGCTACACCAGTGAGACAGAACCAAACACAAAAATGAGTAAAATGGGCTCTACATATGCTCACTAAAAACATCATCCAGCTCACTAAAAACATCACCCAGCTTTTATATAGCAACTACTTAATAAAGGTAAGGTTTTAATTTACTTTACTGCTGGACGTACATCCAGGGAACACTGGCGTGGCCAGTTGAACGAAGGAACAGATGGACAAACAAATTAACGAACAGGCAAACGAATGAGCTAGCTGAAAAAGTTGCGCTTGCTAGGTTAGCTTTCGCTTGGTTGTTAGCTTTTTCTCTGTAAGTTTTACTGACTCGTACAAGGAGAGACTATGGGGGAACACAGTTTTGTTAAAGCTGTGGGTGGTCCAAGCCACATTAGCCTTGTGATTGGTGAGTGCAGAACATAGCATAAGTGCTTCCCAAGAGTAAGACCACTCATTTTACATCAGAGTGTAGATTTTGGTTCTTAATAGATTTAAGATCATCTTAACTAGTAGGGAAAGTGTTCAGTGTGATGTTCACTCTACCATTTAAGAATCATCTCGCTAAGATGCTAATATGCTAAGATGCTTTGGGGAAACCCAGCTCAGAACAGTGCTCCCTATTAACCATATTAGATCACACAGTTTTAGTGTGATTATGATGTTTACTTGATCATAGAGAATTTTAGCTTATATTTGCGCTAATTATTTTTGCTTTGTAGGAGTTTGTGTGTATTTCATAGCGATAATAATAGCAAAGTAGGGTTGTTTGACGCATAGACCTCCCCCCTGATCCCCTTCTCTCAGGCTAAATATCCTCCATTCTGCTCAATTACAGTGTAATTCGCTCTCTTCTGCTGCGCTGAGCTGCATCTTCAGCAATAAAGGCTCTCAGCTCAGACAAAATACACAACAACTTTCACCACAATGTAAGAACAAAAACATACTTCCTGCTGGAATATACATAAGCATAATATATTTTCATAACAAAAATAAAGCATCTTTCCTTTTCTGTCTCTTGCACCTATTTTTCCCATCACGCTAGTTCTGAGATTGACGATATGCTGTAATATAATAAACAACAACAACAACGAAAAGCAGTTTCAGGGACAGTTAGAAAATGTCAACAGTCGCATAATGGATATTACATTGGCTTGTTTTTGTGCTGGGAGAGAAAGAGCAAGAGAGATAGATAAAGAGATATATATAGAGAGAGTTTTCGCATCTATAAATAGTATATTCTGAAGAAAATTACTGAAAAGTAAGTCTTTTCCTCCTGGTCTGCAAAGTTCAGAGTCACAGTTCCCAGAGGAGCAGTTAGATGCTACAGAACGGAGAGGTTCTAGAGCAGCTCAGACGATCAGCCGAAACAATGTCCAGCAAGAGCCCCTCAAAGCAAGGCTTTGCTCTCGTCCGCACCTCGTCCAACACTGCACTCGTTTCTCCTTTCCAGTCTTTCGCTGGGTTTTATCATCTAGAGCCTCATTTGTCCCAGCAAAACTCCTGCAGATGCCCTCCAGTGGATCGAGGCCTAGTTCACAGGTCCTCTTAAGTTCAGTACTCCAAATGTAGCTACTCCAAAAGGCTTTCTCCTCGCGCTTTCAGTCTTAGATAAACCTTCCAGCCAGTGTATCATCATCTTCATGGTCTTCAGTGTTTGAAGCAGTTTACTGCTTTGAGCACGTTTAGTGTTGGGCTGGTGTTTTTAATCTCAGGTTACAGTTCATCTAGGTGTGTTATTGACGGTGGTGGTGGGATGGGATCAGAGGTCAAGACCACAAGGAACAGTGACCTCGCTTCAGCCCCTCCGTCTCTACAGTCCCTCTTCTGGCCTGCTTTCACCTCACATCCACTGGGAAAGAAGATGAGAAAGACTGTCAGTAAAAAAGCAAAGACGTATTTTCATATTGATCAATGTTGGGGGGGAACACATTACAGTAATGTGAATACTTTTTCCTGTAATGAAGTAGTCTAACAAGTATATAGTCATGTAATCACATTACAGTTATGGCTCAATAAGAATTGCGAACAATATTACATGCAATGCATTTACAACATACGTTTCCTCTATGTAGATTATTTGTGCTCTAAACTCCATGAGCTAGTCATGTGAATATATAACTGATGGATAAAAATCTCATATGGAAAGAGACCTGTAACTTTATCTAAACAGGCCAGACTCCATTTTTGTCGAGAAACAGTGTTGTAAACTTTGTTACAGTCTTTTATTTTTTATGATTTTATTTAGATCCAGCAGTTTCTACCTGCTAAATTTCCAAACAGCATCAGCCAATCTTAATTTTAATAAACCGAACTGGCTATTTTTTTCTAAATTCGATTTTCCCTTGTACCTTCCAGTTGTACAGATGTGTTTGGGTTTTAGAGAGTAACTTAGAAGTAAAGTTATTAAAGAGTAACTTTTTCCAGGAAAGAACAAGTAAAGTAATCTGACAGAAGTAATCAGTAATCTGTAATGGCGTAACTACCCCAACACTGATGATGAGCGGTTCAATCTTGCACTTCAATCTGCATGATATTAGCATCAGATCCACCAATTAATACATGCATTAGAGATGATTTTAAACAAGAAACACAGGAAAAGATATTAGGTCATTATTGTGAGCCCTGTTTTTGCGTGATGATTTTACACAATCAACCCTTCGAATCACAGTGAGCTGCAAACAGAGAGGGGGAAGAATGTTGAGAGGAGAAAAAAAAAAGAATGTAACTCCACAAGACCAAAATGCTAAAGCTATTATTATTTCTGTTTAAAGTTATTACTCCGTCTTGCTGTGAAGTTTATTCTGCAGTGCCATAGTTACCAGCCTAAACACTCCTGAGTTCACTAACACACAGCGTGATGGATGTGCTGCTGTGCTCTTTAATAGATGGACTCTTGGAGGATTCCTGTAAGAGCGCCTCTGTCGCACTAACAAAAACTGGCCTGAAATTTCTGACTGGGGCTCCGGGGCTCTGTTTACTGTAAGTGAATGTTCAGAATGTCCAGATCAAACTGCATTCAACTAAGGTGACTTGAAGTGGCTCATAACATGAAAAACTGAATTTTCTAAAATAAAAATTTGATGCACAGTACTGTGCTAAAGTAAGAAACCAGTGAAATCTCCACAATCTCTACAGAGAAACCTCTAAAGTTAGTCAGAGAAGTAGGTTGTATTAACTGCTTCTCATGATGGAAGTAAGCCCAAACACGTTATTCAAGGCTGATGCTTTGTTTTTGTCTAATTCCTTTTCTCATTAAGGCTTTATTGACAGGTACTCATCCTTTCAGACTCATAGTGCTGAGTTGTCTTCTCACAGTGGAAGGATGGACAGATACACCTGTGGATGTTTTTAGATCTAAAGCAGCTTGATTTTCTCCTCTCTCTCAAAGATGAAAGCTTTAAGCGCTGTTTATCTGATGGGGACAGTGTTGGTGGTCTACCAGGTCTTGTGGGTGGTTGTTAGAAGTCCCATTTTCTCTGTAGCTTTTTAAACTCCAGTTTGGAAGCTCCTGTTTTTTCACTTATTTTCCTTTGACTTTCTCCTTCCTTATGCAAGTGGACTATTTTATATCCAATCTCCTTAGAAATATCTCCTGAAAAATGAATAACTTAGTGACTAGATATAACAAGTATAGTAATTTTCCAAGTCCCCAGTCCATACAGTCCGTATATGAAAACTAATCTGCAAAAACAGCCTGTGCTGAATTTGCTGTTATTGTGATGTCATTAACAAGAGCTCATTTACATATGTCCGCCTGTTCAGCCTACCGCAATTTAACCGCCGTCCATTCCACCTACAGCATTTAACTCCGCCCATTCATGATGAAGTTATAAGAAGTGTTTCTGTCTGGACTACTGTCTGATTGAGGCACAATGCAGGGCAGCCAATCAAATCAAAGCTCATTTACAAATATATGTGTCTCAAAGGCACAGTAACAAAAACAGCCTGTTCAGTCCTAATGGATAAAATGGTCATGTAAAATGTTTACATGGGCTTTTCCTAAAGGGAAATGTTCATGTAAACACGGAATTATGCTGTTTTTTGTATATAAAACAATACAAATATTATTAATGTAAAATAATATATATGATGGCTCTTCGAAATAGAAAAAAAAAGAAATCAAAACGATACAAGATGTTAAAGTGTAAGAAGCCAAAGATGGAAAAAATCAATACTGAAGAAGAAGAAACAAATGTCTGTGATCAAGTACATCAAAACACAGTCCCACATAAACCCACCCACAAACACACACACACACACACAAACACACATTTCCCACGAGGTGAGCATGCATGAGCGAGTGTGAGTGAACATGCTGAAGCGTAATCACACACAAAGCCAAGCCAAAGCAAAAGCACAGCCAATCTGCACTGCCACTGGGTGACGCATGGTTGTGACTGGCTGCCCATCTCTCCCCTGATTGGCCCGTAGTCAGACAGGTGGGCAGGGCAGTGGTTCTAAAGTCCTACCTGCAGCAGGTACAGCTCCGCTGGACTTTAGGTGGGGGAAACATCTGCCGATTTTATTACGACACCAATAAATCCTTGCTGAGATGGGACGGCTCTGTTTTTTTTCTGTTTTTCCGTTTTTTACCTTTGACCCTACGGGGGCCTGGAAACATGAGCATGTGAAAGGGGGGCGGGCAGTTAGTTGGGGGCAGAGAGAGGTAAATGAAGAGATACTCAATAGAAAGAAAGAAGAAAAGAAATCAGCAAACTCAAATGGAAATGAAATATATAGAACATTTCACAATATATGCCGTTATTTTGCATATATTGAAAATGCATTTGAATATATTTCATTTAATATGGGATAAAAGAAAGAAAAGAAGAAAGGAAGAAAGGAAGAAAGAAAGAGGAAAAATTATTCAAAGCATCTAAAGCGAAGCAGACTGTCAATGTTTCAGCCACTTTAATCAGCACATACTTTCCTTTCTGAAAGCATGAAAAGACACACACAGACACATTAACACACATACACACACACCAGTGGTGTAGCTAAGGGGGGCTGAGAGGGCCTAGGCTTCTTCACTGTACTGTACAAAAGTTCTCAGATGCCAATGAAAACATTACAAAATATGGGGTCATCATGAGCAAAGATATGACTGTTAAAGCACTTCTCAGGTTGTCACCAATTTTCATAGGATGCTGCCACCATGGCAATGTTTACATGGATGCATGCCACCAATGGTCACGCGAAATGGCATCGAAAGATGCCTTTGTTTTGTGAAAAGTTCACAGTTAATATTTTGTCCTGCTTACGTAGGCAAAACTACTTTACCGAATTAGTTTAAACTGCGGCCCCACAGTCAAAAACCTATTAAAAAAAGTTTTCAGACCTTAAATATTTATAAGGACTGTTATGATCTATTTAAACCCAAGGCATTAATTGAGATAGTAATAAGCTAAATATAAACAAAATCATTATTTATAGGGTACTTTCCATTGGGAGGTGTCTGTCTCAAACCCTAACCACTAAATTTACACTTGTGAAAATAACACTTATTTTTTGGATTCTGTTTTCTAAAATCATTTTTTTTTATGTCTTTTTGATTTCTTTTAAAGTAAGTCGAAATTAAAAAAAAAATTCAAAAATGCTGTCCCATGTTTTAATGTCACTAACGAAACACAAATAGTTTTAGCTCATAGGCGGAGCCTTGTTTTAGCCACACCCCTGCATTTTAGAGCAGGAAGTGAGACTGCATCCCTGTCTCTCATGGCCACATGATGAGCAGTTAGATCCAACTGATTTAAAGTAAATGTGTCCCAAAGTCTGAAAATCAGTGTGGAACATTAAGAATTGTCACTACTGAAACACATATTTTAAGCAATTAAGTTAACCTTTTGTAGTGTAATGAAAATTATTATGTGTAAACTGTTCAAAGCTGTGTTTGCTGGTCATGTACTGGCTAGCGTTTTTGTATTTGGCTCAAAATAAGCTAAAATTGTCACTTCCGAAACAGTCACTACTGAAACATTTCGTAAGGTTTTGGTAGTTTTATGATTGTGTTGGTAGTGATAAAATGGAATGTTCAATCATTTGTTTTAATAACATAAACATAATTAAGGTATAAGGTCACTCAAAGCAAAAGGATTTTAGCCGAAATTTAAAGTCAGTTAATCTGAAATGTGTTTTCAACTAATTTGGAAAACTGATCCACATATGATGCTTGTTTACATATATTGTTGTATTGTTGCATCATGTGTATTTATTGTCTTCTGTATTTGTTGTTGTAGGATATTTATTGTACATTCTACACCTGTTTCACAGTCATGTATCTGCACTTCATAGAGTCCTGTGTAATCTGCTGCTGTTGTGTGCTGCACCATGGGGCCTGAAGTTCCTATAAGCTGCTTATCTAGTTACCGAGAAGCAGTAATAGTTGACCACGGTAAAGAAAACAAAGTTCAGCTCTGCAAAAAAAAGAACATTGGTACCTTTAACCATGCGCTCTAGACATCTACTGCTAGTAAAAGGTAGGACTCTGGCCTATTAGTTAGCCTATAGTCTGCTATCAGTTGTTACAGTTATCAATGTTATCCAGTGTTTTTCCTCCTCTGTATTGGAAGAGCAATTTCTAAAGATTTAGCAATAACTGGACAAGTTGCTGGTTGTTATTTTCATTACAGCAATGTCTTAATGCCTTAATGCTTGTTAGCTGGCCTCCTCAACCTGTAACCACCCCCTCACCCTTATAGTGAAATTCTGGCTAAGTCGCTGACGCACACACACACACTCTCCCTGAGAGCAGGAGTCAGAACACAGAACACACAGCTGGACAATCATTCAGATATCAGGCCAAACAGTGTGTGTGTGTGTGTGTGTGTGTGTGTGTGTGTGTGTGTGTGTGTGTGTGTTTTGTTTTTACCTGTATCTGATTCAACATGTTCTGTCACATGGTGCTGTGATACACACACACACTCCACATCATCCTCTAACCGAACAAGAACCTCCTTCAACTTCGGCTTCTTACGAGACGCAAACTCTACCTTCGCCACCTGGAGAGGGAGAGAGAGAGAGAGAGAGAGAGAGAGAGAGAGAGATAGAGTATACTCATAAGTATAGAAACTCATATTTATTAGTAATATACTATAATCAACAGTATGTAAACACTTTTTCAGAAGCACAAACACATTTATTACTACATAGACCCATATTCGTTAATATATAAACTGTGATTAGTAGCATGTAAACTTATATTTATTGATACATAAACACACATATATTAGTATATAAATGTATGTTCATTGGTATACAAACATATTTGTTAGAATATAAACTTTTCAATGTAGAGTATATACTTATAATTAGTACATGAACCTATTTTAATATACACAAACATAAACATAAACGCATATTCTTTAGCACAGAAGTCATACTCACTAGTATATCAACTCATTTTCATTAGTATATACATCCATTAGCATAAGCATGTGTTCATTAACATGAATTCATATTTACAAGTATATAAACTCATATTAATTTGCATAACTCATTTCTTAGCATATTAACTCATATATTTATAAGCATAAACTAATGTAATCCTTTAACAAGTCAGTAACAGAGGCACTCAAGTTTCAGCGTGTCCAGAAACCAAACATTCAAATGCTGTATCTGAGAGACTGGGGCGCGCACACACACACATACACACACACACACACACATACACACACATACACACACACACACACACATACACACACACATACACACACATACACACACATACACACTCACACGCTGTGCTGTGGACGTCCTGCCCTCTTTGTAAACACTCCGCTGCATTTCTTTCTCTTTTTCCTCCTGTTCTCTTCATCTCACTCTGATTTCTGGGACAGTTTTGGGTTTGCTGATGTTTCATGTTCTTTAGAACTGAATCTGAACATTAGCTGGATTTCTACCCAGATTTTTATGCACACTTTGACACAGTGAATAAAAAGGATTGAAACTGCAAATATAACAAATATCGTCAAGCTTTGCATAAAATTATGTATGCTTCCTTGAGAAATGCCATAATTCATAAAAGAAAGTCATACAGCTGATCAGACTGATCCATTTTTGGTTTCATTAGCTACAAAACATGATGGAAGGCAACAGGTTTAATAATGAAGAATAAAACATACTTTTTTCTTTTTAAAGACAAAAACAATACAGTGATATTAGCTCACAGACAGGCGTAAGAGACCTTAGGGCAGAGCCATTATGTTTGCCAGTGCGCTTTGTCTCTGTGCTCTTATTATGTAAAATGCAGCCATAAAATTCAACAAAAAAGTAAGAAATTTTTGCCTAACATTCAAAATTTGTCGGTCAAATTTCTCAGAAGTGATTTTACAATCAGACAGCATCATCATGAGTTTTATTCTCTTGGACTTGGAAACCCAGAGTTGCTCAGAATAACAAAGAATTTCAGTTATTCTTTAGAAGTGAACTGAAGTGAGTCAGCAGTGCTTCGTCCACTCCAGAGTCCAGCCACCACATTGCCCAACCCCTGGTATTCATTTTAAAATTTAATTGACAGGCGACTTCACAGCTATGTAGCAGGAAACCCCAATCTCTCTCTCTCTCTCTCTCTCTCTCTCTCTCTCTCTCTTTCTCTTTCTCCCACACCATAAAAAGCCCCCCACTCTGCAGGAGGCCCCAAGAGTGCTATTTATAAATCATAGAGTGCGAACCCCAAAGCCCTGCTCTGGGCGCACACACAGTCTCACAGCCAAGTGCTTCACACCGTCCCTTCCCCACCAATCCACCAACACACCCCCAACGCCCCTTACAACCCCTTAACACCCCCCACCCGCACTGTGGAGACTATTGTCCGTGCTCGGCTTGGATCGGGAATTCCCCCTGAAGAGACATAGAGGCAGAGGGGAGGAGAGAGTGAGATGGGGGGGAGTGAGAGAGAGAGAGAGAGAGAGAGAGATTGAGAGAAAGTGTGCGTGTCGGGGAACTTTTTTTCTTTCTTGTTCCAAGGAAAACAGGCCTGAAGGTGCAGGGAGCAAGCAGAGTGAGACCAGCATCGGAATAAAGGAAAATAAACACAGCACTACTCAATCTGTCACTGACCAAATTAGACTTCACAAACACTGAGAGAGAGAGAGAGAGAGAGAGAGAGAGAGAGAGAGAGAGAGAGAGAGAGAGAGAGATTAAATGAAGAAAAGCCCCTCTACCTTTGGGAACCAGCTCTCAAATACTGATCATTATTGCATTATTGAAGCTGCTATTTGTTTGCTAACATCTTTAACATATTCAGATGTTATTATTCCACCACTGTGCCATATATTTTCTATTAATGCTTGTCAATAGCCTGTACCGATAAAGGAATACTGTCCACTGTCGGTCAGTATGTCAGTCTGTAGGTCCATCCGTCGGCCACTGTTCTCAGTCAGTCTGCTCTGTCAGTCAGTTAATCTATTCCTCAGTGTTTTGGTCAGTCTGGCGGTCAGTCAGTCTGTCGGTCTGGTCTGTTGTGCAGTGTGCCAGTCTGTCGGCCGGTCCTTGGTCAGTGTAATTTCTTAGTGTGTCACTCAGTCTAATGGTCAGTCTGCAGGTCAGTGGATCAGCCTCTAGGCCAGTCTGTTCGTCTGTCGATTGGTCGGTCTGTCAGTATGTCAGTAGGTTTGTTGGACAGTTTGTAAGTCTGTTGGTCGGTGTGTCAGTCAGTCTGTTGGTGAGTGTGTAAGATTGTTGGACAGTATGTTGGTCGCTATATCAGTCAGTCAGTTGGTCACTGTGTCAGTCAGTCAGTCTGTTGGTGAGTGTGTCAGTCAGTCTGTTGGACAGTCTGTTGGTTGGTAAATCTGTCATTTGGAGTGCTAAACTAAAGGAATGAAATGCTAAAGAGTTGGGCTTCGTCGAGGTTGATTGTCATGGCAACTGTTCAGGGGGAGGGTGACACAGTCAGTATGTCAGTAGGTTTGTTGGTCGGTTTGTTGGTCAGTTTGTGAGTCTGTCGGTCATTGTGTGCGTGTGTCAGACTGTCGGACAGCCTGTTGGTCACTGTGTCTGTCAGTTGGTGAGTGTCAGTCAGTTTGCTGGTCAGTCCGTTAGTGAGTGTGTCAGACTGTCGGACAGCCTGTTGGTCACTGTGTCAGTCAGTCTGTTGGTGAGTGTCAGTCAGTCTGCCAGTCAGTCTGTTGGTGAGTGTGCTGGACTGTCGGACAGACTGTTGGTCAAGTACACCAAGAAATATGTGAGTATGCAAAAAATTAGTTATACCTGTCAGCTTTAAGCTATAATCTGCTTTGATTAAACAGGAATTATTGATGGTAAAAATTGTTCATTTGCACCAGAAAAGCATATTTAGCACAGTGATAGAATATTCAGCACTTAAAAGTCAACATGTAGCATTTAATGATACCACTGCTGTTCTTGTAATACAATGTTTTCTAAAGTGATTAAAGTGTGCATTCAAGCACACAAATAGCCTGAGGATCCTCTAATATCATTGATTAATGTCTTGTTCATCTTAAATTAATCACGTAGGAAAGCATTCAGAAGCACATACTGTCATAACACACGCACATACACATGCACATGCACGCACATAAAGGCAATCTGGCAGCATGATTTATCTGATAAGCTGAGAGTGAGCAGAAGCAAAATATAATTACAGACATGAGAGCAATTACTGATCACCTCAGGGGAAGAAAACTAAATAAATAATAGAAAGAATGAAGCAATTAAAAAGAAAGAAAGAAGTGATTAAAGGCAGGTAAGTGAAGTGTTTCTAGGGATATACAAGGAAGGAGGGATGTAATGATGGGAGATGGATGGGTGTGTGTCTGCGAGTTGAGGGTGATGAAAGAGAAGAGAGGAGAACGAAAGACAGAAGGGAGAGAGAGATGAAAAACAGAAGGAGGAAGGGAAAAAATAAAGGAAAACAAATCAGTGAGACACTCAGGTGGGATAAATGACGGGGGAACCAGCAAGAGACACTGAAACATAAACAAGCTATTGTTACACTGCTGTACTCTGATACTGTTACACTATTGTAGTGTTATACTGTTACAATGTTACTACACTGTCAACTTGATCCACTGTTACACTGGTACTGTTGTACACCAGGTTACAGTTACATTGTCAGACCATTTACTGTTACACTGTTATACCATTACACTATTACATTGTTGAGATACATTGTATCACTTTTACACTGTTATACTAATACACTGTTACACAGTTGTACTGTCACACTTTTATACCATTACACTTTTATACACTCACACCGTTGCACTGTTTACACTGTTACGCTGTTGTATGACACTGACACTTATATTGTTGTACTGTTACACTTTTATATACACTCACATTGTTACACTATTACACTATTATACCATCACACTGTTGTACTGTCACATTGTTACACTGGTGTACGACACCGGCACTTATATTGTTGTACTGTTATACTGTTACACTGTTATACCATTACACTATTACATAGTTACACTGTATCACTTTTACACAGTTTTACCGTTACACTTTTATACACTCACACTGTTATGCTATTACACATTTATAAAATTACACTGTTGTACTGTTACATTGTTACATTGTTGTGCGACACTGACACTACCGTAGTACTGTTATACTCTTATACTGTTGTACTGTTACTCTATTATAACATCACACTGTTACACTATTGAACTACTACACTCTTGTACACTTATACTTTAATATTGTTTAACTGTTATCCTCTTACGGCAGTATATTGTTACCCTGTTACACCGTTTTAGTGTTAAGAAAATGTAACATTTCAGCATTAAGAAACTGTAAAGTTTCAGTGCTAATAAAATGTAAAGTTTAATAAATCTCTGTTTGTGAACTGAGTCCCACACCCAGCTACTGGCCTCTCCTTTGAGACAAGCTTATCGCTGCAATGAACCAAAGTACAGCAACCCTGCCCAACACACACACACACACACACACACACACACACACACACTGAAGCCAAGCCTATTTACACTGGCTGTGTTTTTTATATTCCTGCTCCGAACAGCGGCAGCCTGTGCAGGCCTGCTCCTTTTTTAGCAGAGAGGAGGGGAAAGATGGCAAAATAAATATATAAATAAGTATCTAAAGTACATTTGCTCAAATATATATCGCTGGAAAGAAACACATAGGATGTTCCCCGTCACTAAAAACAAGTGAAAACTGGTGAGCAAGATGAACCAAGCGGTTTTAGTCCTTTAATAAAGCTTTTATAAACCCATGGAAACGGGAGCGACTCTGAACTGAACCATTCAGCTAAACCTGGAGAGGAACAGGGTTAAATAAAAGGAGAGAGAGGAGAAGAAGAAGGGGGAAAAGAGAAAAAAAAGGGGGAAACTTGGCAAGAGACAATGTTCCATACAACACACTGCACCTGTGTGTGTACCTGCTCCGGTCCAGAAATGTCTCAGGTCTCTGAAGCTCACCAGTAAACACCCAGCTGAACCGCTCAGCGCTGATGTGTGCGTTTAAGAGAGTTCAGCATTCAGAAAATATCTAACGTAGCAGAAGAACAGCACTGACCACATATCTGTTTAATATTTACTATCTATGAAATGGTGTATGTGTACAGTATATATAGTGTATCTTATAGTGTATCTATACAGTATAAGTGCTGTATCTATATATTATTATCACAGCTTGTATTCTTTTCAGGTGACTTCAAAGAAATCTGCACTATTCTCTGTATCTTTAAATAACTTTCTGAACAGTTTTGGAAACTCGTCTCTTTTCTTTTCCAAGTGGATTATCTTTTATCTGACTGTCTCAAAAATAACTCCTGAAAAACAAATAACCTGGACTTTATGGCTATTTTTTCCATTTTTCTCGCTTTCTGCCTCACATGTGAACAAAACATTTCACAATCCAGATAAAAACGTGAGCCTGTGTGTCGTAACGAAGCGAGCGCTTTGGAAAACTTCAGCCTTCCGCGTGTCCCCAACAGTAGCCCTAACAACACACACACCAGAGGAACTGAGGCTTCTGCTCCGTGTCAGACTGAACACTGGGAATAAAGCCAAAGAGTGACTTACAGCACACACACACATATACACACACACACACACACACACACACTCACACACACATAGACACACTCAGCTCCAGCTCATGCAAGGGATTTATGGATGTTGAAGCACAAACAGTGAAAGGTGGCTCTGGAGACACTGACAGTTCACTGCTGCACTTCTTTCTCTCTCTCTCTCTCTCTCTCTCTCTCTCTCTCTCTCTATTTTCTTCATTCTTCCCTTTCAGCTCTCTGCAGAGCCAGCAGCACATTCTGGCCCACAGTATCAAGGCCTGGGGTTTTAGACTTGTGCCCACTAACTTCTTATGTTAGCATAATCCTTAGGTCATCAATGCATAGCAAAACACTGAGGTAGATCAAAGTGCTTATAGGAAAGGCTGTTCACTTTGTGGCCATCTTTGCAACACCACCCGACAGTTATTTCCAGGTTCCTCTCTCTTTGAATGGGGAGAGACCAAAATACCCGAAACTGAAGGTCAAATTACCATATCAAAAACATATATAAAATCACTGACAAAATCTGACAAGAAGCTCATAAATATTTTGTAGCATTTGACGTTTTTTTGGGTTGTTCTGGCTACTGAACGTTTGATCTCCACAACAAGGGGGGCTTTTTCCACTTGTGGCATAATCAGCAAGCTGACTTTTTTTCTTGAACAGGGTCCCTTCTCTGTAAATACAGACTATTTTAAGCATTAAGAGCTTCCCCATTCATATTTCAACCAGAGACTGGTCTTCTCCGGGTAGATATCTAAGTTCAGTTTTGGCTGTCTGGTAAACTACTTGAATCATTATAACTTAGCTTTGGGATCTATTTCTTTGTGTTTAAGGGTATTTTTTCATGATTTTTCCAGAAGTTCTATAAGCTAGCATAACACTATCATTAGCTAACAGAAATGTTTTTCCCCTGCAGAGGTAATGAGTTTTTTGGAAAGATTTTCAGCCATGCTAACTTACATTCCATCCATGGGCTAACGAAAGGCTTGTTGTCCATCAGACAATGTTGATGAATGGACCATCACGCCCCGCTTTGAACCCACTTGCGCGTTCATGAGGTGCTGGACTGGTTTGGTCCCACCTTAATAAGTCTACTTTCTCAGCCCAAACTTTCTTATGGTTGACCCCTGATGTTCCTGTTACTGGCCCGTGAGACCACAAGAAGTATCGCTGGCTTTTTGCATCTGTAGGGCAATGATTTTGCAGCTCAACCATGCGTTAGTATGGGCTAACTCTGTCTGGCTGCAGTAGGAGCTCAAGTATGGGCTCACTGTGTGCCTCTGGCCTGGCACTGAGTGACCTGGAGCTGGTCCACATGAGGGTAAAGTGGAGCTGAGGGAGAGACACTATGGCCTTCACAAAACTGAGCCAAGCTCTACATGGAGACAACCCAAAAGAATGAAGAACAAAAGCTTTTTGAGTCAAAAGAATGCAGGCAACTGCAGTAGGGGGTGTTTACTGGAGCGATGGCAGTGCACTGTGTGTGTGTGAAGGGCTACCCACCTTAACAGTGCGGTGGTGTCTTTTTGAGGCATGGCAGCGCATGTTGCTGGTGTTGCAGCAGCCTGTGCACCGCTTCACCTCCACGCAGGGGGGCCAGATGAGGAAGTTGGCGGCCGTCGGATCCACCTGGCTGCGCGGGATCTCGTAGATCACCGTTCTCGTTTTACACGCAGCTGGCACGGCCTCCTCTACTGTAGCGCAAAGGAAGAGGAACATGGGACACATTTAATAAGATGAAGATCTGAAGTGTTTACAGATTCTGGGCACAATATAACACCAAAATATGCAGGACAGGGGTACACCAGAACACCTATTTACATACCATTTGAACATTTTTAGCACACTTTTAAAGCAGGCCTGTTTTCTTAAAATGCATTTTCCGCCTGTTTTGGAGGTCCCTTAGTTTTGTACTGTGCATTTTATAGATGGAATACAGTCCTATGTAGAAGTCTGTTGATTCTGAAGTGAAAGTAAGTTAATACATTTTCTAGAGAACACACTTCTGCGCATTTTAATGCACAATTACTGTTTATTTGGTGAATTTATCATATTAGAAAAAATTAAGGCACATTTTATATTTTCTATATTTCTGTTTTTTTTTTCTAATATATTAAATTCAGCTAATATATATAAACTGTGCACTGTGCATTACTATGAAATATAATCAAAGGAGCCCAAACTTTTGCCTCCAACTTTATATTTCCATGGAAATGTTTTACAAAACTGGAAGGGCACTGGTCTTTTTAGGGCCACATTAAATAAAAATAAAAGTGCTTTTATTGTGGCAGTTGCACACATTTTGTTTTTTTTCCCAAGAAAACAAAAAATTGTGGTGTCCATTTTATTTCAACATGGCCATCTTTGTGGAAAGGTGTGACCTGTTTTCATAGCAGGGGGTTCTCAATCCCTCCTTTTCTTACCTCATTGCTCACTAGCAGCTCAATGTAGAAATACAACATTACATACAGTGAGTTAATAGTGTCCTAATCTGATAACCAGTGGAATGGCCACTAGGGGGCCAAGGGACATATTCTCAGAGTATCAGTGCTGATCTAGGATCAGATTCCTCTCTTATTTACTATAACTTTACAGAAAGGAACAGATCCAAACTAGCACTACTACTCTAAAAAGCTTCATGAATACAAGCCCAGGTTTCCTACATACCAACACCCCTGGTATAAGTCACTATAACATCTATCAAAGCATGTACCACTGGATTTTAACCCAGGACAAGAATGCTGATACGTGTATGACTGCAGTACACAAAGCACACAAGTATATAAACACTGAACTATGAAGCCTCACCTGACTCCCTTCACATGGTGACTTAAATGTTTTATGGGTTCCAAGGAAACTTCTGGAAGGATTCTCGGTTCATTTGGAGCTGACCAGAGCCAAGCGCACTGCTCCTTTATCAAACTCTCTTTCTTTAGGTAATGCAGCCCAGGCCAAATAAAAAAAACCTCACGAGTGAGTGGGAGACATAAAGGAAGGCTATTAATACGATGCGCAAGCCTCCATATTTACCCTGTGGCCATTTCTAAAATAAGCCGTTGAGCACAGTGACCGCCTCACAGCTCAAGCCAGACATTGGGGCTCTCTGAGTGCCGCAGATATGAAAAATAAAATAAAAAAGCAGAAAGGACAGTGGCTAGTCTTAGGGTCAAACATTAACACTGCGGCTCTCTAATGATGGGCACAGCCATACTGGCTGCAGGTAGAGTGGGGCAATGTATGCACACAGTTTTATGTCTTTGGCTCTGCGCTGTATCTGCTAGTCTAAACGCTTAGCTCAGCGAGCTGCGACATGAATTCTGAATGCCAGGAATTTCCTCGCTCACAGATACATTTACACCCCGTGTCTCAAGTGTAAACCAACCAGCAAGGCACAGCCAATCAGAGCGCTGCCTGACAAATCTATTTTCTGTATATTCCTGAATCAAAGCTACAATATTTATTTACTAGCAGGAAATAAAAACAGAGGCAAATGGCAACGAGTTAGCTGACCAAGAAGGTTATACTGTCTACCAATATGGAAGAAAAACGTGTGCATATATTTGTTCATATTAACATGTATTTGATGTTTATTGAAGTATGTGTGCTAAATGTATTTCACTGTGTTATTTTTGAATATCGCTGCTGTTGGATCAAAATATTGTATCTCCAAAATAGTTTACAGGAGAAGGAAAAAACATACTTTACTTTTAATGGAAGTCAATGGAACCAGACTTCTTTTCCAAGTAATTTTGGGCCATTTCTTTTGGTCAAATGATCATGAAATTCCAATGTAAAGGGACAACAGGTATTTTCAAATTCTATCAAAAACTGAAAAACCTTACCTTTCAATGTAAGTCAATGTAAAGAGATTTTATTCCAAGTGATTTTAGAGCATTTCTATTGGTCCATTCGTCAGGACATTTTCACACAACATTAAGGACAGCTGGTATGTTGAAATGATGTTGAAAAATAAAAAACCGACAAAAAATGGAGATACATGGTTTTCTCTGGACAGCGATGACACGGGTAATGGGCCCTGCTTTACCTTAAAAGCGTCTTTGTACATATGATATTTTACCTCATGCAAACTTAGTTTAGCATCCGTTTTAAAAGGGCTGAACAACTTAGGTAAAATTTCGAATTGCAATCTTTTCAGTTTTGATTTAAATGGTGATTATTTGCTATAAAATTGCTTTTTGGGCCTAGAAGACCAGCATATCCACTGTTTCTAGCTTTGAGCGCTGAATGTAGTGGTCCGGGCGGCAAGTTTGTTGCGGCTGTGTTGTCATGTATGCATCGTGTGAGTGTTTAGTTGAATCTGATTGGTCTAATGCATCTACAGGCAGTTTATCAGCTCCTTGTTTTGGGGTAAAAAAAAAATTACCCACTTAAAACTAGGCTACAATTAAAATGGCATCTCTTGCAATATAAAAACTGTACTCATGGAAATTGCGATTTTGATATAAAAACAATTTTTAGCATCACGGTTTAGTGTTTGTTAATGGTTTGTAAAGTAGATCTAATGATGTGACATTAAGCTAGACTCACAAGACCTGTTAAATGCCAACTGGACCAGCCCTAACTGTAACTGAAAGTCTTATTATTTACTAATATATCTTCCATATGACGCAGCTCCTTGTTAATCAACACTTACCAACACTCCTCTTGCGTCTGCGGTGCATCTGGTTGCTCTTGAGCTCGTAACTGTGGTGATGCGAGTGGCTTTTCTGGTGGTGCTTCTGTTTGGAGTGCTCCATCACTTCATTTCCCGAACCTTGTCAAAACACAAGTCACCCGTGTTACTTTCATGTTGCAAAGTGAAAAAGGGAAAAAAAAATATATCACCCTCGCTCCAAAAGCAGGTCTCCACTGCGTCTGCAACGAGGCTTATTAGAGCTCTTGCTAAACTCCCTGAAGCTTAATAAAGGCTAAATCACTCTGCGGTGAGTGGCTATACCAAAGCACCGGATAATTTCCCCTTCAAGTTCCCATTTAAAGCTTTTACGAGCTCTTTCCACAACAAACAATGGTTGCTTTAGTCAGCGGCTTAATTGGAAATTAACCACCTTGATTACCTCGTGTTGAGGAATGGTGATGTCATTCCATGTCGGCATGCGGCGACTGAGCTAGCTTTCAGACCGCAGGGTGATTATACGTCTTTATGTGTCACTAACTCTCAAATAGCCCTTTAAAATAACACTTAAGAGCAGACACTATGGCCAATTATCTATGACCAATTCCTCCAGGCGTTCATGTCCTGCCTCAAAGACATTTCAGTATATCATATCAAGAGAGAATCTTAATAGGTTTAGTGAGAAGATCCAAACTGTTCTGTATTTTTTGATAACTTTTATAACTTTATGATAAGAATTCCTCCCATAGTACACAGTGACCAGTCGCACTCACTCAGCGTGATCCATGATCAGAGAGATCCTGACTCGGTCGCTATCTATCTGATATGACTTTGTTTTGTAAGACGCCTCAGTCCGAGCAGGCACGTTCCAGCAGGAGGAGATATTTGATGAAAGGTTAGGCTGCGCCATGTGACTTCTAAGTACAACTGCACCCAATCCAGAGTTGGCTGTGAGAGCACCGAGCGCGCCACACCACGCCATGTTCCGTCTCCATGACAACGAGGTCCATTTTCCGGCAGTAAACAAAAGCGGCGTGTCGACAAAAGCATTACTCCATTCACTGATTCCTCTCAAGGAAGTTTAAACCTCCCCCTGCGCGCCTGCTATATAAACACTGCCCAGACTAAATACTGACCCAGCAGAGAGACACAGAATGTGCAGGGGGATGTGAGGGGAAGACACATACATTAAAAACCCAATTCACTTGTGCTAAACTGAACACCATGACTCCTACACTTGGAACTCATCAGACTGGACACATAATTGCAGCATAAATAAAGCATAAGTAACCAGTCTTTCCAGTCAACACTGCCTCAGCTCACATAAGCACTCCAGGAATTTTCTTTCTTTTCCAATTGTCCCTTAAAGGCATCATGCATCTTTTACACAGTGATAGAAAACACAGTAACACACACAGAAAGCTGAGATTCTACATGCTACGTTTTGCTTTGATTGATGTGGACCACTTTTGCAATAATTCATAATATGGACATTGAACCGAATGGGGTTAAACATCTTAACAGCAGCTTGAAAATGTGGCCGCATATCATAACTGTTTATTGTGATGATATCACATTTTTGCAACTGTTGGTCTCGGGCAGACGTTCCATCATCAGAAGAATGTGGCTGCTAGCCCATCAAGATCTTCGCAGCATCAAGGCTAACATTGCTAACAAACACTAAAACTCAACAGTCACCCAAAGAGCCAAAATCGTTTCTGTAAATATGCATCACCAAGACATCTTTCAACCCCCTCAAACCACATCCAGGTGTTCATTAAGAGACTTGTCGATGTGGTTTGTGACACAGTGTGGTGTACTGTGAACTATAAAAACTGTGGGGAGCCACTTCAAACAGTGGCGTCTGTATTTACAAACCCCCTCAGGAGTAAGAGCGCTGATCTAGAATCAACAACTATCATAATTAGGGTGGGATCTAATTCAAGGTCAGTCCTGTTTTGTGAGTACCAAAGCAGAAAAGCACATTTTTATAGCTCACAGTAAGTCATAGCGTGTTCTAAACCACAGCAGCAAGACATAAATGAAGACCTGGACGAGGTTTGAATGGGTTGAAAAAGGTTTTGGTGATGTGTTTTTACAGAAACAATGTGGGCTATTTGGGTGACTATTGAGATCCAGTGTTTGCAAAGTTAGCCTCGTAGCTCCGGTTCTAAACTAAAGAAGCTAAATTTGGACTCAGGCTGATTGACTACATTTGGGGTAAGTTAAAAATGGGATAAATGTGATTTTGCTGAGGTATTTATATATTTAAACGTAGCTCACAATGCTACACGTCACTCAAGCGTGCAAGTAAAAAAAATAGACTGGACACATAAAAAACAAGGGTGAAGGGGCTCACATGTGGATGGTCGTAAGCCAGTGTGGACCTAAGCACTGATCAAAGTGAAGGTGTATCTGGACGACTAAAAACCCTTGAGAAATGCTTTTGGTGTGAACAAGCCTCATTTTCTTTAACAAATGTCACATTCGAACCTTTACAGCCATCACTCATTACGGGTCACTGGTAGAGTTTGCTAAACCATCCCCCTTGTCTTCCTTTCTCTTTCTCTGGCTGTCCCAGCAGCCCCCACCCACCAACCCCACACACCCCCCTAAGAAACGGCCTGAATGAAGCGGAGCCGACCACAGAAAGCGTTTCTTTACAGAGTGACTTCTGCTTTCTCCTGCTACTACAGCACCCCGCTGCCTCTTTGCTGTATTCTTTTCATCGAGGAAAAAGAAGCAAGGTGGCAGGGAGAGACAGACAGACAGAGAGTGATGGAGTGAGAGGGTGAGAGAGTGAGGGACGGGGGCTGGGCTGGTCAGGCTGCACTGTAGCACAGTCTGTTCCGAGCAGAATGTAAAGGCGTGCGCTCTGGAGACTCCTCCATCACCGCCACATTCACCGCAGACTCTGAGTGATTAGCTTCAGGACCAGCTTCCAGCCAATTTTCATTTCCACGAGTGTCTCCATAGCAATGTGAGCTGAGCTCTGAATGAGTGTCCACACTTGCTCAGATAGATCACAGTGCATCCAACAATAAAGGCAGCATAGAGCTTCTTTTATACAGTGATAGAAAACATGGTAACACAGAGGTGTTCTATTTTATTATGGCTAATGTGGATTTGCATGCGGCCCAGTGAAATGATTCATTGGAAAACTGTAAACGTGATGGGTTAGAATGTCTACACTGTGACACAGAGAACAAAAAGATCTGTAACACTTCACTGGAGGGCAGCATTTGTAAGCCTTTCATTACAGCTGGCATAAACCTACATAAACATTTAGTCTTATTCCAACAAGCATCAGTTATCATCAAGGCTGCTTTTGCCAATCTTGCTGTCATTTCACTTCAGGAAGGGTTCTGACAACTGACACTTGTTGGAATAAGCGTTTATAAATGTTTATATAGGTTTATGTAAGTCGTGCTCAAAGGCTTATTTGTAGGCTATAGAAATCAAAAGTCAACATGCATAAATAATCGCTTTATAATCACATCTTGGCACGGTGAATCGAAACCAGATTGAACTGTGAGGTATCCACCCCTAGTCGTACCACAAATTCTTTGAGGCAGTAATGACACGATTAGCTGAATGAGCTAAAGGCTAACTGCTTGTTATTGCCTCCGAGACTGCGGCGATAACTGTGGCAACCAGCAGTATAAAAGTTCATCACTGATATGGGCAGGAATAATCACTCATTTAGGGGGCCATAAGCAGGTGTGAAGTTTCGATGATTATAAACTCATAAACTCATTTGGAACACATTGCGTGACCTTTGGAATGGGGAATATGCTGATGAAACCAGTTCTAGGCCTCGGGGCATTTTCTCCTCGATTCTACTCCACAGTTAACGCCAACAATCTACACTTCCAAAAGATGTGAAAACATGGGTACTTCACCTCAGATGTCTGGCTATCCTTCACTTGCCTAAAGTGCTGCAGCAAGCCAGTGATTTTGATTTGTTTTTTTAGCCATAAAACACCAGGACAGCAGCTGATGACCCAGCCGTTTCTCTCCTTTGCACTGGTGCCAAGCATAACGCTTCAAACTGAGAGTTGCACAGTCTAGTTTTGACTTTGATCATTAGCGTAAACCAGTTTAACGGCAGTGAAAACAACAGGCGTGAAGTCGAACTGACTTTTATGGAGATGTAATGCACATGCAAGCTCAGGTACTGCTTATTTGATAAGTGAGGCCAAATTTAAGTAGCTTCACTCCTAAAAATAAAGGTTAATAAGAAAAATAAAGAAAACTTCAAGTGAAATACAAGCTTTACATTAAATGGAGGTTCTTTAATCCCATTGAGCTGGCAATCCACTTCAAATCTGCCGCCAACGGAGTGCATGTTCACTTTAGCCAGAAAGAAACAGACCCGCATGTTCTACAATGTTTCCCATCACTGTATAAAAGAGGCACAAGGTTTCCTTTATTGCTGGATGCATTGTGATTTTTCCGAGAGCGCAACTCAGATCGCTTTGTGTTTACTATTGATTCCTTTGATCAAAGTAACGACACAACATGACTGATGTGTGACTTCCTATTCATGCATTTTCTTCTTCAAAAGATGTTGAGAAAACTTAAATAAAAATCTGCACATTTTTGGCTTTGTTAGATCGCATTGTTTACATATCAAATAAATGTAATAATAGCGCTGAAAAATCACGTTATTAATGTATAAAAAATGCATTTCGAAGGCAGGAACAGTCATGATTAAACTTTAAACAAGTTTTCACATCTTATTTACAGAAAAAAATTAGCTTATTCAGAGAACCAAAAGTGGTTCTTCTACGGCATTGCTCCAAAGAACCCTTTCTGTTCCATTTGGCACTTTCACTTTTAAGACTGTGGTCTTAATTCAGTCCAGATCTTCATCCATTCCAAGTCCAGATCTTTTTGGGTCATTCTCTTTACAACATAGCAGGAGTGTAAGTGTAATGGGGGGTGCTGATTGCAGGAATATAGATCTATTTATGGACAGCTTTTGAACTCTGATATTACCTTACCCCAAACCACCCACCACCCGGTCTAACTGATCCATCACACCGCCACTGGACATCAACCATATCACAGCCACTGTACTTCCAGATTTCGCCAATTTCTATATAACTGTTAATGTATTCTGATTACATTTGACCTCTTTACAACATGGACTCCAAAGACCAGACAGCAGATCCTGAATCAACTCGACCCACAAAACAGACTTTCTGTAAGACCTTCACTGCGTTTTTTGCGTTGTCGCATCGCTACTTAGAACGCTGGCTACTCGCAGGCGTATATCTAATATCCCCATCTGAACTCTAGAGGCCCCATAGGGTTTGACAGCTAAAAGGATATTTGTGGTTTGTATGCAGGCCAAAGGAGCGGTCACTAAAGTCCTGCTGTCTAACTCCATTCCTTCTGCCAAACCAACACAGCAGTAATATCCACGCAGACAGGTGTGTTACATCAGGTGTGTTACATCATCTCAGTGGCACATAAGGCATCTGCTGCTCGGTTTAAAAGCGGTTACGGCACCGCACTGTCTCTGAAATGTGCCTGGCGTTTACAGTGAAATTATTATGTAAGACCTTTATTATGCTCCTATTTTTTCTGACTTTTTGAGGGTCAGAAAAACAGGCAGAACATATATATTTAACAGAAAATTACACAGAAGCCTCAATAAGAAAATATTTCAACCTTTTCAGTATTTAGTGTGTCCATTCTTAGCCTTTATTACAGCTTCCATTCTTTTCCGGAGACTCACTTGAGTTTTTCAAAGAAATCTGCAGCCACAGCTACAAAGTTCAGTCTTAGAAGTTGGCTGCATCTTGGCCTAAGTAATCTCAAATACATTCAGTGATGCTGAGGTCTGGACTCTTGGCTGGTCAGCCCATTGTTTCCTTTTCTTAGTGAGGGCTTCTTGACAGCTAAACAAACTTTTAGACTCATAGTGTTGAGTTGCCTTCTCACAGTGGAAAGGAGGGACAAAAAGACCTGTGGATTACTTCAGATCTGAAGCAAGACTGTTTAAGTGCTGTTTATCTGATAGGGGCAGTTTTTGGTGTTCTACCAGATCCTGCAGGTGGTTGTTAATGAGCTCCATGTTCTCTATTAATATTTTTAGAAAATAATATGTTTAGAAAACTATGACTTTCCATTTACTTACGCAAGTATATTATGTTACACCTAATATCTCCCGAAACATGAGTAACTGGTACTTAATGGCTGTTTTGACTTTAAAATGAATAAACAATAAACAAAGCTTCATCTCTGACTTTTGCACAGTACATATAAGGCAAATATGAATCTAAGATACAGACGCCAAAGGCTGCTGATTTTAGTTTATTATGTTTCACAATAGTAATGGAATGCTATGCATTCTCTCCCCCCCTCTCTCTCTGTCCTGCACACATACACCTGGCATTCATCCACACAGTCCACTTTAAGTTTACTGTCCTGCTTGCTACAACAAAAGCTCTGAAAATTCCTCATCTCTGGCGTCAGCCTGCTTTAACTGACCGTAACGGGCAGCGTGGCAGACAGACTGATTTACCTTCGGGTAATAATAATCACTTTACTACTGTTACTAAATACTACTGTTACATCCCCCCTCCACACCAGCCCAGCGCATTCCACTGTTTAAACAGAGGCGTTTTAATTTGATTATAAACACCCTTATCGTGCGACAGTCACTCTCCAGAGGGAAACAGCGTTAGGGTTGGAGCGGCTGACCTGAACTCTGCACATAGGTTTCTCAAAGAGGATAAAACTGAAGCTTTTTTTACATTAGCAGGGACAGCATGCCGAACATGCCAGGCTATATTCATCTGTGTGAAGTACATACTACCTTTTTTTTTGGGTATACAGTGGATTAGAACTAGGACTATGAATATCACTCAGTTTCTGAGGAAACAGAAAGTGTTCTTATCACAGAGGAGCAAGTGTTTGAGATATAGCAACAACCTGTATAAATACAAGCTTGAGTGAATGTATGAGTATCTAGTGCCTCTGCTCCCTGTAACTTTATCTAGTGACAGAGAGAGAGAGAGAGAGAGAGAGAGAGAGAGAGAGAGAGAGAGATAGAGAGAGAAAGATCCCAGATGAAATCCCCAAATGAAATCCAAGGAAAGTAAGATCTGCAGATCTTTAGGCAAGATCTGCACGTCATTTTGGGACAAAAAAAAAACATCTAAAATGAATTCATGTTGGAAAAACACTTTAATACTGTACACAATACTATATTTGATCAAACCAGCATTTTAAGCTTCACCACGGAGGGTCTCCTCTCTGACCATGGGCTGTCATGTGCAACAGCACCACCCTAAGCCAACACTACACACTTAAAAAAAGATGGTTCTTCAAGGGTTCTTTAGTGAAGGCAATGGTTCTATTTAGAGCCACAAACACTCTAAGAACCATCTGCAAGCTTAAATGGTTGTTTGCATGCTGAAATGTTCTTCAGATTGATGAAGAATGTGTGGTACATGGTTCTCTATAGAACCTTCTTGAAAATGGCTCCATATAGCACCAAAAAGAGTTCTTCTATTGTTACAAGATTGACATCGTAACAGTAGCAGAACCCTTTTTGGTGCTATATAGAACCAACACATTCTCCACCAATCTTAAGAACCATTTCACCATGCAAACAACCAGTTAATCATTAAATGGTTCTATACAGAACTCATGGTTCTAAATAGAGCCACTGCCTTTACTAAAGAACCCTTGAAGAAACATCTTGTTTATACTCCTTAAAAAGATGGTTCTTCAATGGTTCTTTGTTAAAGAGAATGGTTCTATATAGAACCCTGAACACTGTAAGTACCATCTGCATGCTTAAATGGTTCTTCAGATGATGGCTCTAAAATGGCTCTATGTAGCACCAAAAAGCATTCTTCCTCTGTTACAAGCTTGCATCGTAACAGTAGCAGAACCCTTTTTGGTGCTATATAGAACCAACACATTCTTCACCAAACATAAGAATCATTTCACCATGAAAAGAACCATTTTAGCATGAAATGGTTCCATATAGAACTCATGACTTTAAACAGAACCACTGTCTTTACTAAGAACCCCTGAACCATCTTTAAGTCTGTACACAGTGGCTCTAAACAGAACCATGAACACTCAAAGAACCACATGTTCTTCAGATTGATGGAGAATGTGTTGAATATTGTTCTATGAGAACCTTTTTGAAAATGGTTCTATATAGCACCAAAATGGTTCTGCAACTGTAACAACAGCAGAACCCTTTTGGTGCTATATACAACAAATTTCCCATCAATCTTAAGCACCATTTCACAATACAAAGAACCCTTAAGCATGAAATGGTTGTAGAACCACTGCCTTCACTAAAGAACCCTTGAAGAACCGTCTTGTTTAGACTAAGTGTGACACCCCAACTTTCATAACGCTTGATATGAAATATGAAATTGTCCCGTCTGTTGAGGAGGGAGCTTCTCAGTTTAGCGTTAGCCTAGCTAAAAGGGCTAAAAACACAGCACGTAGGAAAAAAGCGTGATCAATAAACCGCACCACTGCATCTGAGGGCAAAGTTCAGCAGCCATAAAGTGGCGTTTACCTGCAGAGTGCCCGGAGTGGAGGTCCAGCAGCCGCTGGAGGTCGCTAATGCTGTGGATTTCACTGTGAGCGAGCCTGTCCATCAGATCCTGAGGAATCCCCAGCTCCTTCAGCCAAATTAAAAGGTGAATTAGTTACAGAAGACACGGATTAGATACAGTGTGTGCAAAGACGCTGCACTGTTAGTCCAAAAAAGACTCTTATTTTGTAATTTCCCACCGAATTCAGCGTCCCATAATGTTATGCACGCGCGCCCTGCGCTCAGTGAACTTGCACTTGTTGCTCTCTCAGAAAAAAAAGTCTCAGATCTGGAGCTAAAGAGGAATAAACGGCACACTTAACCCCTTTACCCCCTCCTTACCCTGCTCACACTTACAAATACCCTTCATATACGCGGGGAATTAAAGGGGAATTCCACCGAGTTTTCAAAATTTGTGCATAATTCAATCTGTGAGGTGTAAACGAAGTCGCTCGGAGTGATTTCGTGTGGCTTCGTTATGGAGAAACTCGCTCAGTCAGATTGGTCAGAACCAGACGTCTGATGACTTTAATGCCTCTAAAAGCTGCCTCACATAAAGTTATTACATGAAGTAGTTATGCATGCATTGCCTGATTTCTGAGACGTTATTTCACGGTAGTGTTTTGATACAGTTTTTGGTCTAAAACGTATTTTAATCACTTTATTTTGATCCACGCATGGTGGAAGGATACAAGAAGGGTGTTCTAAGGCAAAGAGTCCCCAAAGAAAACGTGCTATTTTCGGATTTATGACTATTTTACCTACATTACATATAAAAACGTGTAGACATATATACATATATAAAGATGTGTAGGTCCACTGGTGGGTTTGGATAGTAAACAAAATGGCTATATGTGTGTTGTAGACATGGTGACCCCTGGTTCCTATCACCACCACTGTAAAGAAATCAGAGTCTCTACAAATGAACCATTTCACACCAAACCACTCTGCGTGACTCTGTTTACATCTCACCTATTGGCTTATTCACATTTTGAAAACTCGGTGGAGTTCCCCTTTAAGGCAGGAACGCGCTGATTAGTTACGAAGTTCTGTTGGAGAACTGAGTCTTGGCTCGATGGACGACCCCGCCCCTGCTTTCAACGCATCTTTTACGAGCTTCTACTTCAAAGAAGTTCAATTTTATTTGTACAGCGCTGTCATTTTTCCAAAGCAGCTTTTTCCCAGAAGTTTTCGCCCCCCTACTCTCCCCCCAGCCCAAGTGTGCGCGTGCATGCGTTACCTCAGCAGTGCTTATCCTGAGGCAGGTTAAGATCAAGCAGCAGCACAGAGCGGTCTTCATCTCCCCTCACTCTGTTTCCCCCAAAAGCAGACGGACGGCGCGTGGAGGAGCGGCGCGTGCTGCGGGGCTCCTGAGCCTGAGCGCGAGGGACCCACCACCATCCCTCGGACACAGCCGGGGAGGGAGGGAGTGAGTGAGTGGATGAGTGAGTGAATGAGTGAGTGAGTGGGTATCTGGCCGCTGAAAGCTCGCGCTGTGCTCAGTGTGGGTCTCCAGCGTCCTCGCGCTCTCCTCTCACAAAATAAGTCACCAGGGGCGAGAGGGACATGCCTGATCCCTGCAGAGCGCGTGAACAATCCCCAGAGAGGCGTGCATGGTTAATATTGTGTAAAAAAAAAAAACTTGAACGCGAATAAAATTATATTAATTCTTGAATTGAGCTGAATATTTTTGCGTCCTTTCGCTTTAAACTGTTTGTAAACACACTGTCAGGTATCCTCAGAGAAACAAGGTCCTGAAGGAGCTGCAGGTCCAGGCTCGTGTCCGTGAAAAAGCTGGAAACGCTCGCGACAAAAAAAAAGCGGAGCGGTGCGCGCGCTCCTGCAGAAAACTCTCCGTCCTGCTTATTCTCCGCGCGCTGAGTGAGAAAGTGCGGCGCGAACTGCTGCATATAGCGCGCAGAGAGCGCAGGCACGCGCCTCCCCCCGCGCCTCCAGCGCAGAGCTGGTTGGTTCGTCGCTGAATGCGAAATCTAGCTCTGCCCATCGCACCAAGACGCCCTCCAACCACCCCCCCCCCACACACACACACCCCCCACCCCACCGTGCTCCTCTGAGAGAATGAAATCAGCGCCCGTTTGACTTATTTTGGTTCATTCTAAGAAGAAGAAGTGAAAACAAAACAACAAGAACGTTCTTCTACTTCTGCTAATAACTTTGACTCACTGTCCACTTTATGAGCTGGACCGACCTTATAGGTTACAGTTACAGTGGTTTATCAGCCCACCCTATACACCATTCATCATTGGTCAGTTTCTGACCACAGGACCACCAGATATTACTTGGGTGGAGGAGCCTTCTCAGCACAGCAGTGACAAAGACATGGCAGTCTATTTGGTGCTGGTGTGAGTCACTGCAGTGCTGCTGGAGGGCGTCAGTGTCACCGCTGAGTTGAGTGGTCCGCCACCCAAAAACAGTCAGCCCAAAGCGGCTCTGTGGTCTGAAACTGACCGCTGATTAAGAGCTAGACTAGAGGATGGTTAACACAGGCTGGGCTACAGTCAGTAACAGCTTCACATTCAACAGGTTCCTTCTTCGACAAGAGGTTCTTCAAGGGTTCCTCAGCAAAGGCAGTGGTTATACATAGAATCATGACCAGTGAAAGAACATTTGACTGCTTTATTGGTTCCTTGAATATTAGAAAGTGGTTCCTTTCATGTGTGCCATTCAACTGGGCCACTGTCGCCTCCACAGGATTGTGGTGGTGGATTTTGTCCTTTATTGCGGTGATTCTTCTTCTTTATCTTCAGTTGTTGTTGTTGTTCTTCTTCTTCTTTTTCTTTTGTTGTTGTCTTCTTTTTCCTTCTACTTATCTTCTTCTTCTCCTTCTTCTACTTCTTCTTCTTTTTCTTCGTCATCTTCTTTATCTTCTTCTTCTGTTCTTCTTATTTTTCGTCTTCTTTATTTTCTTTTATTCTTCGTTTTCTTTATCTTCTTTTGTTGTTGTTGTTGTTGTTCTTTTTCTTCTTCTGTTCTTTTTTTGTTGTCCTTAATCTTCTTTTTCTTCTTTTCTTCTTCATCTTTTTCTTTTTCACTATCTTCTTCTGTTCTTATTTTTCTTTTTCTTGTTTTCTTTTGCATCTTCTTCTTCTTTATCTTTTTCTTTATCTTCTTCTGTTCTTATTTTTCTTCTTCATCTTTTTCTTCTTCTTCTTCTTTTGGTCTATTATTATGATGTATAACCTCTATAATGTATATTATATGTGTTGTATATTTGGTTGTATATACATACATACATACATACATACATACATCATCTAAACTGCTTATCCTTCTGGGTCGCGGTGGGGTGCTGGAGCCTATCCCAGCTATCATTGGGCGGAAGGCTGGTTGTATATACAGTCATATAAAAAAGTTTGAGCACCGCTGGTCAAATGACAGATTTTGTTTTCTATGTTGTTTTCTATGTGAAAAAAAGGGTGTATCCTGCCTTCCGCCCAATGACAGTTGGGATAGGCTCCAGCACCCCACCGTGACCCAGAAGGATAAGCGGTTTAGATGATGTATGTATGTATTACTCCCCAACAACATAAATCATGAGTTTACTGTGTTTTGTAATGACGTCCTTCCTGTGTTGTGTCTGGTTCTCTAACTACAGTACCTTTTAGAAATGATTCTATTTTGCACCATGTTCTGCTATTGTTGCAAGTCACATTACCTTTTTTGGCATTTAATAGAACCCTTTATGCTAAGAGAGCACCCAAAGCTGACGTTATTATTTGGGCGTGTAATATGAGGAGTGATGTGCCCAGTCTGATCAAAGACAGTGATGGAAACTGGAACGCGTCTGAGCACGCTTAGTGGAAGTAACGTGTTAGCAGAGCAGACGAAGCAGAGAAGCCCTGAGGTCTTGTAGATTATGAGATGTGGTAAAGTGGCTGCGGAGGAAAAGATCCGCTTAGCAGGGTCAGGTTTAGGCACTGAAGGGGTCCCTCCTAGCGCCATACATTCATTCATAGGCTTGTAGAGACCCATTATGTTTCACATGTCATGTTAGAGTCCACACATTGTAAATGCACTGAAAAACTTGTTTTAACGTAAAAAAGTAAATAACCAGACTGCTGAGTTAAGTGAATAGTAAGCTGATAGAACAAAACTCTGCACTTGACTTAGACCGATAGACCAGTATTAGCAGTGGTCCAAAATTGCTTTTGATCTTCTAAGCAAAAATAAGTTAACATGTCCTCTCATGACGTTTTTTGCTAAATTGAATTAATAAAAATTAAACACCTTTGATAAAATGTGCCATAACTTTTGCACAGGCCACATCTTTCCAACATGTCAAATTCAGCTAATAAACACTAACTGTGTATTGAAATGTGCAGAAGTGTGTTCTCTGAAGACGATGTGTTGATTTATTTTCACATAAAATCAACAAAACATTGACCAGGGGTGCCTAAACTTTTGCATACAGCTATACATGCTTTTCATGCACACTCTTCCAAAATGGTTATTGGCTTGGATGTACAGTTCTAGGATCAAACGTCAAGTGATATGTAACCTTTCCATTATGTGGAGGGTCTTTCAAACTTATATATATATGTACCATCCACAGAAAGGTTCTTTAGGGCAGGGGTTCTTAAACAGCTCCTCAGGGACCCCCAGATGGTCCACATTCTTGCTCTATCCCTATGTTTTCCAAGTTAGCTTGGACCTGGGGACCCTCCCCTCAAGGGTACATCTCAGTACCTTTAGTAAGGGAACACAACTGTACCAAAATCCATTGAAGTTATATGTTCTAAGTTGTATTGACTCCACACACCCTGTCTCGTCTCCAGGCTTTTATTTTATTGTTCTGTTTTAAAACATTAGATTATGAAAAGATACAAAAATGTACTTTTCACCTGGAAAAACTTATTTAAGGTGCACATTTGGACATTAAATCCACTGTTGCACCTTTGAGGGAACATTTACATTGTTTGTACCTTGATGAACGAAAAATGTACCTGCACAGAACCTTTATTTCTAACAGGGACCCTGAGGACCAGTTTGAGAACCACAGCTATAGGACACCAAAAGTAGTCATTCTCCTGCATTGCTCCATAGAACCCTTTTTTGGCACCTATTAAGTATGATTAATACAAAGGTAAAACCCAAATTTGACAGAGTCATTACATGCACAGAACTTTCTTTGTAGAAGAAAAATAGCCTCCAGTTTCCTTCACGCCACTGTAAAGTTTCCATGGGTAGGCTGACTGAAGAACACTATGAATAACTGCAGACCGATGCATGGCCCTTTCTCCACTCCGTCTGCAAGGTCCCTGTGGAGATAAACATGTCATCGCTTACTCACCTCATCACGGTGAGGTCGACCACACCGACCCCTGCAGGACAGGAAAAGGCCAGAGGAAGGTGAAGGAGAGGAGAGGGTGACTTAGAGGGGTAAGAAAGAAGAAAGAAGCAACAGAGTGGACGGGAGTGGAGAATGGACAGGTTGGTGTTGAAGTGAGAGAAGATCTGGAAGTGGAGAAAAGAGGAAGAAAGTGGTAAATACCAGTGCTGTAAGTGTTGTCAAGACCGCTAAAGCAGAGTCCGAGACCAGAAACAAGGTCGACTGAATTAAGATTTTTTTAGAATGTATATATATATATATATATATATATATATATTGTCAAAAACTGAAAAACATAAAAAAAATGGACATATACGTTTTTTTTCTGACTACAGTAATATATATATATATATATATATATATATATATATATGTGTGTGTGTGTATATATATATATATATATATATATATATATATATATATATATATATACATGATATGTAAACACTCTTAGCAAAATGGGTTCTATATAGTACCAAATAAGGGTTCTTTGGCTTGTTACAATAGTGGAACCCTTCAAAACGTATAAAATAAAAGAACAGTTTTGGGTGCTAAAATAGAACCCTTTTCGAAAGGTTTCTATATAGAACCATCTACAGCACATTCTCCATCAATCTGAAGAACACTTTCATGATGCAATGAACCATTTAATCATGCAAAGGGCTCTTTGATTGTTCATGGTTCTTTATAGAACAATTTTTTTTTTACTGAAGAACACTTGAAGAACCATACCATAAGAGTGTAACTAACATTTTGCTAGAACAATCAAAGAGCTTGAAATAAATGTTTTATTTTTGCAGATGATCAACAACATTTGTCATATTTAAAATTATGTTTGGTTAAATGGTTGTATTGTTACTAATTTTTTGCTTTAAAAAACTGCAGTACCACCACGGCCCACTGGGGGGTACAGCCCCCAGGTTGAAAACTGTTGTAGCTGTTGTATGTTTTTAAGACTGTAGTTATGTTTGTATTTTCAGTGCAAGCAAAACCAAAATAAAGAAAATCCAGCAGTGAATACGTAATGCTGGCATTACTTGTGTGGGAACTGAATACGAGTATCTACAGCTCTGTGCTGTTTGCTCAGAGGTCTTTTTAAACGAAGCTTTGAAACCCAAAAATGTACACCATCACTTGGAGTCCAAACACAGTGAATACGTATCTGAATCTGTTGAACTGAGCCAGAACTCCTCAACTTTCCTGTCTCCAGCCTGACTCTCGGCACTTGGTAGCTGCCAAATCAGCCTTCTCATTAGTTGAGTCAGAAAAAGATGATCGAATCACTTAAATCCAGGCTTTTGTGGTCATTTGTGTGGGCCATGAGTTGTAAAAGTTTGGGACCCCCTGATATGCAGAAATGACTGTTTTAGTCTGTTTAATCTGGTTTTGTTGACATTCAATAATAACTCAGCTTCCATTTAACTCAGCTTCACACTCGGCTGGTCTCAACAACAATTTACTCCCATACCAAGACTAGACCGTGCCCAAATGAGGTTGAGACCGAGATGAGATTGAGGCC